ACTTTAGTCTCACGGTTCGATATTTTTTCGATACAAAAAGGAGAGAATTTCCATGCCCATTTTAACTTGTAATTTATTTAAATTAATTATGAACATTTGTTTAACCTCAAAAGTACAGTTTTTAAATTAAATGTTGCTGAAACATCAAGTTTCTCAGTGGATCTGCACTCAAAAATGCAGCCTACATCGATTAGTCGAACACAGATCCACTGATCCTTCAACACAGAGCATCTTCAGAAGACAAGTTGATAAAGTTAATTTTAAAAAGCTGTATTGTTCCATACAAGTGTGTAGTGAACCTAAAGCACTGTTCGATATGGTTCGATACGGGTACATGTATTGTTGCACATTACTCACCAAGTCCAGGAATTCAGAGCTATAAAACTAAAATAAAAGAATTCAGTTTGTGTTAAAGCTAACATTTAATAAAGAGGGCATTACTGTTACTTAACGGTATAAAATAGATTAAATGTTCAAATCAAGGCTTAATTTAATAATAATGGAAGTGTTAACAAAACAAAATAATTATATAACAACACTTAAATACAAACGTGTAAAAAATTAGATTAGATTCAGTGTCACAACATACGTCTTTATTGGATTAAAAACAACAAACTCAGTTTATTCAGTACATTTTCCCCCTGCCAAGTTTTGACCATGTTTATTTAAACATTAACAAATTAGTTCAGATGAAGCTTTGAAGTGGGAGGGTGATAAACAACCAATGTCGTACCTGTTGTAGACAGCCAAACCACAGTTTGGAGAAGCAGAATTTAAATTTAAGAATGGAATAACGAGCAAACAGCTAATCCAACGAGTCCAAAACCAAGGTGGAATTTTTTTATGCCGTCTTAAAACTGCTTCAACCTCAAAATATCCATTGTAGTTCATTCAAATGTTGAAATTCACAGCAAGCAGCTATTATGGCAGATTGTTCCTGCTGGATGTGTGTCCCAGGCTGCAGCAGAAGTGCTAAAACTACATTTAGTTCATTCTGCGATCAATCAATCAATCAATCTTTATTCCAGACACAAAAAAGGTCCATAGCAGAAAAAAAAAAAGGGTAAAAACAAAATAAAAGAGAGAATAAAAATAAACATGACATATTCTGCGTACAAATATGCAAAGAAATACATCTAAATAACCATGAACTGACAGGAAGATAAAATTTAAAAGATAAAGTTTAACTGCTGTGAAATGTTAGCGTTTGGAGTTGTTTTAAAAGGGCAGCAATCTACTTTGGTCCTGGTCATGTTCAGACTAGCTATTAGCTCGTCAATCCAGTCAGATTTTATCTTGGTGTCTGATAAGTACGGATGCTCAAAGAGTCTTTTACCACAAAACCCCATTTTAAAACAGCTAAACCATTGGAACAACACACAAACTGAAGAGGAAGCAGTTTTCTGAAATACCTGAACAAGACAGTAACATTTTCTGACATGTTGCATATTTTCATTCACAGTTAGCCCATTTTTAGACAGTCTACTTGTTTGTTACCTGTAACCCTACAGTAGAGGAGCAGCTTTGACCTGCGTCATAGCTGGAAATTACATTTAAAGATTCGAGTTGGCCCTCAGCAAACCTAAAACTACATTCTGGGTCTTGTGCAATTAAAGAAATATGGACACATCAAGGTTTGAGGGCTAGCAATCAAAAGAATATAAATGACAGTTTCAGCCCCTAGATGAGTTCTTTAAGTGGTTTATGGATGCCTCTTTTAGGAGGGCCACAAATTCTTTTTTTCATAGCTGTACCAAAAGGAGAATCAGGGGCAAAAAATGCTGCAAGGAAACATCCTGCAGCAGTGGGGAAGGATAACTGAGAAAATAAAACTGGAAAACTGTGCTGTTAAACATTATTACTGTGGATGAAGACAATCTTTACTGGTTTGCGGGTATGATA